CCTTCTGACCTTTCGGGTTTTAAGCAGGAGGTGTCAGAAAAGTTCCCGCAGGGATAACTGGCTTGTGGCGGCCAAGCGTTCATAGCGACGTCGCTTTTGGATCCTTCGATGTCGGCTCTTCCTATCATTGTGAAGCAGAATTCACCCAGCGTTGGATCGTTCACCCGCTAATAGGGAATGTGAGTTGGGTTTTAGACCCTCGTGAAACAGGTTAGTTTTACCCCACTGGTGATGTGTTGTTGCCATGGTAATCCTGCTCAGTACGAGAGGAACCGAAGGTTCAGACATTTGGTGTATGTGCTACAATGGGGCGAAGCTACCATCGGTGGGATTATGGCTGAACCTCTAAATCAGAATTCGAACAATAGGGCAGCACTGCGGGGCCTCGCTTGGCCTCGATTAGCTGGTCCCGCCAGAGGGCCGTTGTGCATTGGGACCACGGGGTCCCTTGCGAAGAGCCCTTTGTCCTGGGAAATAGGGTGTGGCTGGAAAGGGGGTCGCCCCCTCACACATTCGCTCGTGGGGAACCTGGTGCTAAACCATTTGTAGATGACCTGCTTCTGGGTCGGGGTTTCTTACATCGCAGAGCAGTGCCCTTGAAAGCCAGCCCTGGACACAAGCGTTTGTCTCCATCCCGGCCTCTCTCTCTCCCTCCCCAGGGAACAGCCGCCCACATGCCCTGGTGGCTCTGGCCATGGAGGGAAGGACAAGGAGCGGGGAGGGACTGCGCTGGAGCGGACAGCGTCCATGCCTTCCTTTCACACACTGCGACTCCGCCGGCTTAATGTGGAATGTGTCTGTACCGGTTAATAATGTGGAATGTGCCTCTACCGGTTAATAATGCGGAATTTTTTCAATCCATGGAGTTACACATATGTTGATATATATGCGATTTGATATGTATGCTATTTTGTTGTATTGACAACAAGCTTCGACACTTCATATGTCAAATTTCCTGAAGGTGTTAACATCATAGATATTTTTACGCCTAAAAATGTCGAATTTCGTGCCAAAAAAAGAGCATTTGCGGGAAGTTTTAATTCATTACTGGTTTTCTTCCTACCTCTCTGACTGCTCCTTTTAATTCCCCTTTTTAGTTTTTTTTTAAAAAAATTTTTTGTCTTTCCCTTAACTGTTGCTGTTTCTTAGGTTCTGTCTTAGCCCAGCTTTTCAACTTCCTCTCTCCATGTCCTGAACAATCATATCTACTCTTACGGCTTCTATTACAACTGACAGGCTGATGGTCCCCTTTTATATCAAATCCAAACCCCTCACCTGTGCTTCAGGCTCATCTAACCAGTTACCAAATAATGCTTCCTGGAAGCCTCAAATACACCTCCCACTCAATGTAACTAAACTAAAATTGTCATTTCCTTTCACTACAAACCTGAGGTTCTCTTGTGCTTCCATCTCAATAATGATACCGCTACCTACCCAGCTCCTTTAGCTATAAATGTAATATCGTCTTTTATCTCCTCCTCTCCATCATCTCTTCAATGGAACTCCTACTGACTCTAATGCTCAAGTAGGTCTCAACTGTACCCACTTTTCTTGATCCCGTATCTATTATACTAGCTCAGGTTATCATCGTCTCTCACAGGGATTATTGTTGTTGCTTTTTAAATATATTTTTATTGATTCCAGAGAGGAGGGGAGAGGGAGAGAGAGATAGAAACATCCGTGATGAGAGAGAATCATTGAATGGCTGCTTCCTGCATGCCCCACATTGGGGATTGAGCCTGCAATCCGGGAATGTACCCTGACTGGGAATCGAACCATGAGCTCCAGGTTCATAGGTTGATGCTCAACCACTGTGCCATGCCAGCCGGGCCTCACAGGGATTATAATATCCTCCTAATGCTTTCATTTTGACCCTCTCCAGCCCATCCATCCACATTGCAGCCAGAGTGATCCTTATAAACTATCAATTTGGTTAATGACTCCCCTGTTTAAAATGACAGTAATTCCTTGTGGTAGGGACCAGAGTTTAAAAGGCGGATTGCCTCTAGAAAGTGGAGGGCCTTAAATTCCAAACTGAAGACTTTAGACTTTATCTTGCAGAAAATACAACAGATTTTTTTTTTTTAAAAGGGGGAGTAATGACAAATAGAAATCAAATTTCAAAAAAGTTTTTGTAATTTGAGTGCCTGCCATGGATGTCTGGAGGGTTCAGAAAATAATAACCTATTCAGAAATCTACTTTTGTTTTGTTTCAGATTATTACATGTGACTGTCAGCTTTTATTAACAAGGGAAACATGTGCTTATTACATATTACATAGATTATAATCTTCAGAAGATTACAGTCCAGTACACTTGCTAAACAAACATAATTACTATGACTGAATGAAAATATTAGCAGTGTGTAATTAATGTAGAGATGGGTTTATACTTAACTAATGGCCATGGACTTTCAGTTCGAGGGAACTAAGTTCCAGGTCTTGCTTTCTCTTCAGAAAAGAAATGAGAGTAATTAAATGCATATGTGAGGTTCACAGATCTGGGCAATGGTCTTTGAAAGTACTAGGGTCACAGAAAATGGAGTAGGTAGGGATCTTATCCTTCAATGAATAAACCTGGGATGATAGGCACTTTGGAGAGGAATTTGGGAGACAAATTGAGAGAAGTTCAGGTCTGATTGGCTAGAAAAGAAAGATCTTTGGAACTGGAACTAGGCTCTGATGATCACCTTTAGTAGTTAACTTTCCCCCCTGTTTTCTGTAGAGTTGGGCTGAGGGATTATTTTGAGTTGCTTTGAGAGTAGAGTTTCAGCTGGACAAGCTGAACGTTAGAATTAAAGTAATTATTTTTCAGTCCTGGGAATAACCTTGGTGATAGCTATTCTAGACTCACAGTTGGAAATAATGAAACAATGGAGGCCCAGAAAGCTTAAATGGCTTGCACAAGGACACACAGATTAAAGTGAAGGAATAGGCCAGAATATCTACTTCACCACTGTATGCATATTGCCTAGAATGTCTGACACATAGCAGGAGCTCAATAAATATTTATTAAATGAATAAATAAATAATCCCCAGGCTTCTTATTACTTGTAGTATTATTTCCACTGCACCATGGAAACTATGACAGATTTAATAAATAAAAAAAAAAAAAAAGGAAAAGAAAAAGAGGGTCTTTGAGCAACCAGGACAGGCCTGCACAATGTCAGAGGATAAAGGTCATTATAATACAGATAGATTTCCCTAGCAAAAGAACTTCCCCTTACCTGATGTATTAGTTTGCTAGGGCTATCATAACAGCCACAGAATGGGTTGCTTAGCCAATAGAAATTTATTTTCTCACAATTCTGGAGGCCATAAATCTAAGATCAAGGAGTTGGTAAGGTTGTTTTTTTTATTCTGAAGGTTATGAGGGAAGGATCTGTTCCAGGCCTCTGTCCTTGGCTTGTTGATGGCCATCTTCTTCCTGTGTCTTCACGTCATCTTCCCTCTATCATGTGTGTCCAAATTTCCATTCATTTTGGGTTAGGGCCCACCTAATGATCTCATTTAAATAAAATATTTATTTAAATACTGCATCTCATATATTCTAAAGTACTGGGGGTTAAAACTTCAATATATAAACTTTTTGGGGAGGGGGGCATAATTCAGCCCATAACACATAGAGACCAGCTTTGCCATCACAGCATTTTAAACCCTCAACCCCATTCTTTAGCAGCAGCCAAGGTAATGTTAATAGAGCTCCCAGTTTATATTTAAGCAGTCAATTGCCCAACAGCCTCAAGCTTCTGCCCATGTATGTATATTAACTAGGTGAAGCAGGAGGGTTAGCCTGCCACATTGCTAAAAGAAGAGCCATAGGGCATGGGCTGGCTGGCCCAATTTTTTTTTTAATGAGGTTATTATAACTGACGAAACAATACTTTCTTCTTTGAAAATGGCTCTTTCCTCATCTTGTAAAATCGGAAGGGCTTTGATTGTTTTTACCATGGTTATTATTGTTGAACTGTAGCTTAGATGATGAGTGTATATTTCAGGAGTATCCTGGGGCTCTGAAATAAATGCCTATTGAATGGACCTTTGAGAAAGCCAGGGGGGCTCTTCCATGGTTTCCAGGAAGATCCTTAAGTAAAGAAAAACATACACTGATCTTAGGGGAAGAATAGTTTTGTAGTTAGAAATCATTTGAAATAGGTGATGTTCCATGGTAGTGTATCAGGGGATTTCCAGGTTCTGTCTTTGGTGGGCATCTGCTATTTGTGTTCAAGTGAGGGAGAGGTTGGTGCTCCTTGCAGAAAATGCCATCTTACTCCATCAGAATGATACTCAGAAGCAGAGCTTTCTTGTCTCTACAACTGACAAACATGATGAGTATCTATAACTTAGGATGCCTTGTCATCCATGACCCTCACAATTTGAAATACTATCCTGGATCAGGGCCTTCTTTGGACTTATTCCTTGTACCAAGGCCTGAATACTAAATATAGACTCCAGCAGATGGCACAGGATCATTAGATAATAATTAGATATTTTTGACATTACTATTAAACATATTCTGACTGTCACTTAATAGACTGTGTTGCTTAAACCAACAGCTCATCTACAATTTCTATAATGCTGAGCTAAACTTTCAGGCCATTTCCTACTATCAGCTCATTAGACATCAAAGACAAAGAAGTTGCTGTATTCTTGAAATGAAATATTAACAAATATTGGGAGCACCATTATTTGCCATGAACAGTGAATCACTGCAAAAGACAAACCAAAAAAACAAAAAACAAGCACAGAAAGCTGTGAGGTCAAGAATAAAAACACTTGGGCAGAGAATCCTATCTTTAGGGGCAGCAGGGGAGGAGGCAGATAATATAGGGTTCACCCTAACAGGGAAAAATGGTTGGGGAAAAAAAGATTTTTTTTCCTCTTTTTTTTAAATTTAGACATAATCGTAACCAAATACCCTTAAGTGAATGGCAGTTTTTTTCAGTTCCTAGACCATTAGATACTGAGCTATGATTTGACGCATAATTAAAACAGACAAAAATAATTGTTTGCTAAACATTTATTATTAATTTTTAATACAGTCCAATTATTTCAACAAGAATGTCTCCAAGGTAGTATCAATAGGCTTCAAAGGATTGTGGGCTGATGGGTTTTCTTAAGGGCCTGTAGGAACTTGCCCCTCTGTTTACAAATTTTTCCCTTCCCCTCCCCCAAAATGCTCTCTGTGATCTCTTATTGGCCCTAGAGGAAGATAGATGTCTACTGGATCCTAAGCAGGTTTCCTCTCAGGTAAAATTAATAAAGGTAGTAATATTCTGAAATTTATCAAAGATTGGGGGAAGAGAACCGAGGACTATAGACTACAGCAAAAACAGTTCTAAAATTTGAGTTCTGGAGTTTTTGAGAAACACCTTACTTTTGCTTTATGAGATTTTTAAGTGTTTATGGAGTCAAGTGTAAAAAAAAAAATCAAATTCTAAGTTGTAAAGCTAAATGTTAATAGAGATTTCTCCCAATTATGGACTACTTTCACATGGAAGTCAGTTTCTGTAGAAGTCAGTTTCACTACAGTAAAAATCCAGTCCCCTTTCACAATCTATGTTAATTATGCCAAAAAGATGAGAGGTTATTTGGAGGTAAATATAAATGTAATTTAGGCCCAAGAAGAAATACCAACTTGAACACTAAAAAATATCTAAATTCTCCACAAGATAGGTCAACCATTTAAAAAACAGACCCGATTCTTTTGACTCTCACATCTGATTATTCTTGTTACTTCTGAAAGCAGTAAATTAACATGTCCCCCAAACAAAACTCCTTCAACAAATTAAATGACCTGTTTTTAAAAATGCACACCACATCTGCACCAAAGAGCAAAGACATCCTGCAGAATTACTCGAGGAAGACTAAAAGGTAGAAGTACAAAGTACATGAAATGAGTATAGTTTAAGATTTTGGAAAAAAAGACATTCTAGCATAACAGAGTTTTCCCACAACCAAAAACATTCGAGTCATCTGGTACCCAGTGTTTCCCATTTTCCTTTGCTGAAGCTTTGGCAAGTGTCGGGATATGGCGGCATTTCTTAAGGACGGTATTGGGACCTCTGCTCTTGGATGTACTCATAGAGAGGGCTGGAGCGCACCGGGGCACTGGCAAACGGACGCTTGCCAGACTCCAGAATCTGCTGCCGGCCCTTATCTTTTTCCTCCCAGCCTCGGCCGCGCCTCTGCGCCTCTTCCAGCTGGCGGAGCTGCTCTTCTTCCCGGAATTTCCTCTCCCGCTCCTGCCGGCGCCTCAGTTCTTGCTCCTCCCGCAGCTGCTGCTCTTCTTGGCGACGTAGTAGCTGTTCTTCCGGTTCCCGGAGGAGCTGTTGATCTTCAAGGAACTTTCTGTCGCGTTCCCGGCGAAGCTGTTCCTGGCCATCCCGGCGGCGCAGCTGCTGTTCCTCCTCGCGGAGCTTTCTGTCGCGCTCTTGGCGAAGCTCTTGTTCGAGCTCCCGGCGGCGCAGCTGGTGTTCTTCCCGTTCCTTGAGGAGCTGTTCCTCCGCTCGGAGCTTTCTGTCTCGCTCCTGGCGGCGCTCTTGGCGCAGCTGCTGTTCTTCCCGTTCCTGGAGGAGCTGTTCCTCCGCTCGGAGCTTTCTGTCTCGCTCCTGGCGGCGCAGCTGCTGTTCCTCCTGGCGGAGCTCTTGGCGGCGCAGCTGCTGTTCTTCCCGTTCCTTGAGGAGCTGTTCCTCCGCTCGGAGCTTTCTGTCTCGCTCCTGGCGGCGCAGCTGCTGTTCCTCCTGGCGGAGCTCTTGGCGGCGCAGCTGCTGTTCCTCTTGGCGCAGCTCTTGCTCGAGCTCCTGGCGGCGCAGCTGCTGTTCTTCCCGTTCCTGGAGGAGCTGTTCCTCCTCACGGAGTTTTCTGTCTCGTTCCTGGCGGCGCAGCTGCTGTTCCTCCTGGCGAAGCTCTTGCTCGAGCTCCTGGCGGCGCAGCTGCTGTTCTTCCCGTTCCTGGAGGAGCTGTTCCTCCGCTCGGAGCTTTCTGTCGCGCTCCTGGCGGCGCAGCTGCTGTTCTTCCCGTTCCTGGAGGAGCTGTTCCTCCGCTCGGAGCTTTCTGTCGCGCTCCTGGCGGAGCTCTTGGCGGCGCAGCTGTTGTTCTTCCCGTTCCTGGAGGAGCTGTTCCTCCTCCCGGAACTTTCTGTCTTCTTCCTGAAGGCGTCTTTTCTCCTCTCTTTCCTCCTTCAGCAGCTGCTCTTTCTCCCGCTGCAGCTGCTCCTCCTCGCGGAGCTTTCTGTCGCGCTCCTGGCGGCGCAGCTGCTGTTCTTCCCGTTCCTGGAGGAGCTGTTCCTCCTCCCGGAGTTTTCTGTCTCGTTCCTGGCGGCGCAGCTGCTGTTCCTCCTGGCGAAGCTCTTGCTCGAGCTCCTGGCGGCGCAGCTGCTGTTCTTCCCGTTCCTGGAGGAGCTGTTCCTCCTCCCGGAGTTTTCTGTCGCGCTCCTGGCGGCGCAGCTGCTGTTCTTCCCGTTCCTGGAGGAGCTGTTCCTCCTCCCGGAGTTTTCTGTCTCGTTCCTGGCGGCGCAGCTGCTGTTCCTCCTGGCGAAGCTCTTGCTCGAGCTCCTGGCGGCGCAGCTGCTGTTCTTCCCGTTCCTGGAGGAGCTGTTCCTCCGCTCGGAGCTTTCTGTCTTCCTGAAGGCGTCTTTTCTCCTCTCTTTCCTCCTTCAGCAGCTGCTCTTTCTCCCGCTGCAGCTGCTCCTCCTCGCGCTGCAGCTGCTCACGTAGAGCAGGTTTGGAGTATAGTGTGTGGCGGCGTCTCTGGCTTTCCTCTTCTAGTTGCCACCTCCACTTTTGGTCGCGGAGCAGCTCCTCCTGGCGCCGCTCTTCCTCCTGGAGCTGCTCCTCCAGGTCGCGGGATTGCCGCTCCTGCTTCCTCTCGAATCCCTGTAGGCGCTGATCCTCCTCCTGGCGCAGCCGCCTCTCACGTTGCTGGCGGAGGAGCTGGGAGTCCTCCTCCCGCTCCCGCAGCCGCTGCTCGCGCTCCTGCAGCCGCCTCTCCTCCTCTTCCTCCTGCTCTTGGCGGCGCCTCAGTGGCCCCTGCCTGCGTGGCCTGCGGGGCCTCGAGTAGACCTTGCTCTGTCGGGCTTCGGCCTCGCTTTCCAGCTGCCGCTGCCACCGCAGGGCACGGCTCTCGCCCAGCTCACCGGCCTCTTCTTGCAGTGCCTCCTCCTCAGCCAACTCCTGCTCCCGCCGCAGCTGCTGCTCTCGCCGCTCCTCCTGCTCGCGCCTCAGCTGCTCCAAGAGCGGCTCCGGCTCCCGCCTCAGCTTCTGTTCCAAACGCGGTTCCCGCTCGCGCCTCAGCAGCTGCTCTCGCCTCTCTTCTTGCTCCCGCCTCAGCTTTTCCAAGCGCGGTTCCTGCTCTCGCCTCAGCTCCTGCTCCCGCTCTCGCCTCAGCAGTTGCTCGCCCTTCAGCTCCTGCTCGCGCCTCTCTTCCCGCTCCCGCCGCAGCTTCTTTTCCAGGCGCGGTTCCTGCTCTCGCCTCAGCTCCTGCTCCCGCTCTCGCCTCAGCAGTTGCTCGCGCTTCAGCTCCTGCTCCCGCCTCTCTTCCTGCTCCCGCCGCAGCTTCTTTTCCAGGCGCGGTTCCTGCTCCCGCCTGAGCTCCTGCTCACGCCTCTCTTCCTGCTCGCGCCTCAGCTGCTCCAAGAGCGGCTCCTGCTCCCGCCTGAGCTCCTGCTCGCGCCTCAGCTTCTGCTCCAAGCGCGGTTCCTGCTCTCGCCTCAGCTCCTGCTCGCGCCTCAGCTGCTCCAAAAGCGGCTCCTGCTCCCGCCTGAGCGCCTGCTCCCGCCTCTCTTCCTGCTCGAGCCTGAGCTCCTGCTCACGCCTCAGCTGCTCCAAGAGCGGCTCCTGCTCCCGCCTCTCTTCCTGCTCGAGCCTGAGCTCCTGCTCGCGCCTCAGCTGCTCCAAAAGCGGCTCCTGTTCCCGCCTGAGCTCTTGCTCGCGCCTCTCTTCCTGCTCCCGCAGCAGCTTCTTTTCCAGGCGCGGTTCCCGCTCGCGCCTCAGCAGCTGCTCTCGCCTCTCTTCTTGCTCCCGCCTCAGCTTTTCCAGGCGCGGTTCCTGCTCTTGCCTCAGCTCCTGCTCCCGCTCTCGCCTCAGCAGTTGCTCGCGCTTCAGCTCCTGCTCGCGCCTCTCTTCCCGCTCCCGCCTCAGCTTCTTTTCCAGGCGCGGTTCCTGCTCTCGCCTCAGCTCCTGCTCACGCCTCTCTTCCTGCTCGCGCCTCAGCTGCTCCAAGAGCGGCTCCTGCTCCCGCCTGAGCTCCTGCTCGCGCCTCAGCTTCTGTTCCAAGCGCGGTTCCTGCTCTCGCCTCAGCTCCTGCTCACGCCTCTCTTCCTGCTCGCGCCTGAGCTGCTCCAAGAGCGGCTCCTGCTCCCGCCTGAGCTCCCGCTCCCGCCTCAGCTTCTGTTCCAAGCGCGGTTCCTGCTCTCGCCTCAGCTCCTGCTCGCGCCTAAGCTCCTGCTCCCGCTCGCGCCTCAGCTGCTCCAAAAGCGGCTCCTGCTCCCGCCTGAGCTCCTGCTCCCGCTCGCGCCTCAGCTGCTCCAAAAGCGGCTCGCGCCTCTCTTCCTGCTCCCGCAGCAGCTTCTTTTCCAGGCGCGGTTCCTGCTCTCGCCTCAGCTCCTGCTCGCGCCTCAGCTCCTGCTCCCGCCTGAGCTCCTGCTCGCGCCTCAGCTCCTGCTCCAAGGGCTCCTGGCGCCCGCGCCTAAGCCTCTGCAGCTGCTCTTCCACCTCTTCCTTCTCCTCCTCCAGGCGCTCACTCAGCTCCTGCCGTTCCCGCCGGGGTAGCTGCTCCTCTTCCCGGAGCTCCCGCAGTTTCTCCTCAAGGCGCTGGCGCTCGCGCTCCAGCTCTCGCTGCTCCCGCCGTTCTCGCCTCCGCTCTTGGTCGGGAAACTCCTCGGGCGCCCGCCCCTTGCGCTCCTGCAGCTCCTCTTCCTCCTGGCGGCGCGCTTCCTGCTCTCGCCTTTGCAGCCGCTGCTCTCGCCTCTCTAGCTTCTCCCTCTGCTCCTCTTCCTCAGCGAGCTCCCTCTCTAGTTCCTGCCTCTTCTGCCAGCGTGCTTCTTCCAACTCCCTGTCCCGGGGATCAAACCTCCTTTGGTCTTCTTGCCTGCGATCGAGTAACGGGGCCCCCTTTCCCTCACACGGGGCTTCCTCCTCCAGCCCGGACGCCTCGGCCAGAGCGTAGTAACAAGCTTGAGCCACTTTGAAAATGAACAGGAGGTACTCATTGAAATCTACCAGCCCGTTACAGTCGCGATCCAGAAGTTCCAGGATCAAATCTACCGTTTCAGGATCATGTGGTCGCTATGAAAAAAAAAGGATGAAAACAGAAGTTTTTTTTTTAATGTACCATTTACAGCTAGTAAACTTTCTCACACAAATATACATTTTACAACATGCAGACATTCAAAAGACAAGAGCAATTTGGAAAATCCCAGGGTGTATGGTGAAGTTTTGTTGTCTTCATGTAAAAACGTGAATACCTCATTTTATAGCATACATTTGTTGGAAGTGTTTGCATCTTGTAATTTAATGCTGATGAAAGGAACACAAGTTCTCTTTAGCTGGGTGAATAAGAATGAACTTATTCTCAACTGAGAAATAAATGGGACTTTATGAAGATGTGCAACAGCCATTTCTGTCTGAAATAGCTAGTTCCTTTGATTTGACTTTTAGTCTGTGTTTGAAAAGAGAGCAAAACATTTATGGTAACACCATTTTACTAGTGAACAATATGAATTTAATTACCGAAATTTGCAAGTAATTTTAAATTCCTTCCAAGTCTAGTTTGATCTAACATCTTTGGTGATAACCTCCCATGACCACCAGTTCATCCACATTGCCATTGCCATCAAGTACATGAAATAATTGCTAGTAACTTCTTTAGTACTCAGACTACAATGACAATTAAGTATCTTCAGGCTCAAAAATGAATGGGAATGTAGTGTAGAGCTATCATGGTGTAAAATGAATATAAAGTCACCATTCCTTGCTCTAGTTGCTCCTGAGAAGGAAGTTCATAACCCCAAATGAATAAAGAAATGTCCTTTTCATATTTCTTACCCGAAGAATAGCTCCAAATTCCCTTTCAAGGAGGTTCTTCAGGTCTTTTTTGCATAGTGCTGCCCCATCACAATCATGTGAGGCATATTGATTGAAAACTTCAGTGATATCGACGATGCTTCTCAGGAGTGGAGACATTTTTTTCCCTTTCTTCAGTTCAAGTAAACCTAAAACAATAAAATAGGATCCAGAATCAAACTCTATTTCTGGTCTTTGGGAGGTTTTAGCCCCACTGTTTTGGGCAGATCCTTAAGTAATTTGACTTTACAATAGTAGTTATTTTCAACCTGGACTTTCAAAGCATTTTATTTTTTAATATTGTACAGCTCTTAGAAAAGGGAAGAGAGATCCTGAGAAACTTCAAGCCTGGGAATTATCTGCAGACTATCCTGTAGTCGGCTTTCAGATTGTTCAGACAATCTGAATTATCCATTTCTTTTCCTCTTCTCTCTTTCTCCTTCTTAATGTATTTCAGATCAGACAGTGTAGAGTATAATGTAGAAATTTAAATTTGATATGTTGCTACTCATAGCATCTGCCTCTAAAATTGAACAAAGAGGGCAGGTGAAAGCAAAAAGGTGAAGGAGGATCTGAAAGTATCTTTTTAAAAAAATACATTTTATTGATTTTTTTACAGAGTGGAAGGGAGAGGAATAGAGAGTTAGAAACATTGATGAGAGAGAAACATCGATCAGCTGCAGGAGGCAACCAAGGTACATGCCCCTGACCAGAATCAAACCTGGGACCCTTGAGTCCGCAGGCCAACGCTCTATCCATTGAGCCAAACTGGTCATGGCCTGAAAGTATCTTAAAGTGAATAGAAGCCACATACACCTAGGTGTGGAGCAAAACATTTAGTGGCAACTAGAACATTAAAAAGGGAATGTGGGTTATTCCCCAACATTATAGGCCATAAGAGATCTAGGAATATAATTCACAAGTCAGCAGTTTTAAGGTTAAGCACTACTTCTCCGTAGTTGAAGGTGGCATTGCAATATTCAGATAAACCAATGCAGAAAACAAAGAGTACATTTTATCTGCCTTAACTAAGATATATCACAGATATTCAATTATTGAAAGCTTCTGAGAGGTACTTTCTGACTGGCTACCAGGGTCCATGGGTCAAATTGAACCTGGACAAATTTGAATAACATTGGTTTTATTGTTAGTTTTGTTAAACCCAAATAAACCCTTTGAATCTTGGCATTATAAAAAATGGAATTTAGTCAAGAGCAGGTCAATGTTAAAAAAAATACATGGGAGGTTTCACTGACTGGGTGAGAATAGTGGTTCATCTAGCTGGCTTCTTTAGTTACTACTCAACTTGAAATACTGCAGATACCATAATTACATGAAGATGGCCCATATTGGGCAGAACCAATATAAAAAGAGAACCAAGTGTTGGTAAACTTTGGAGATAGCAGTTTTTAGAAAGATGAACCCCATCAGTGTCACACATAACTTCTCTTCCAACCCCTGACATGCAAACATACTTAGAGAGTTCAGAGCCTTGGGAGGAGACCATGTCTCTATTTGAGTAATGGCTCCAGCCATAAGAAGATGGCATGGAGTTAGACATCTCTGTAAGATACTGATGTCTTCTGACACAATAGCCCCCCCCCCCACACCATCCTCCCCCTCCTGCCAACATCTACAGCAACTGGAAAATGAAGCATCATACAGAAGAACATGATCCCATTGAATGGGACTTACCCACTTCACGAGAGGGAGAAGTCGAGTGCTCGCTGACACCACTGGCAAGTGTACTGGGCATCTGGTAGCTGGGTCTTTTATAGGGGTTCTAATTGTGCCCTGAAGACCTACTTGGAAAGGAGACACCCACTCTGTGGGATGGCCTGATTCATTCCTAACCAAGCCCAGCTCCACCTCTGTCTCCACAAATGGTTTGTTTATCTCACTATTTGCTCACGTACCTATTTGGCATGAGGTTCACAGACCTTGCCTCCTGACAGGGTACTGGCCCCACCTAACATGAAAGGATAGAATGTTTGGCAGAATCTCTAATTTTTTTAAATTGTTAAAATGAAATAAAACAAAAATTAATGTTCAGAATCTTAATTAATTATGATTTTATTACAAAGTAGTAACTTCTAAGCCATTTACTATATAAAAAAATCTAACTTATAGGCTGGGGTCAAACAGAAACTTTGACATAAGCTAATGAGAACTAGTTAATTTCTCTCTGGGATGTGACAGTCCATGGGAGCTGCGTATAGCCCTGTCTGAAACAATTCTAGGACAATGAAAGGGTATAAGGAATTGATTTTAGTTTCTTCTCTAAAATGCAAATGGGGAAAAATTGCACTTGTATTCTTGGGTCTTATAATGATTTTCCTATAGTTGAGGATTGTCTTCTTAGTAAACAATTTTGGGTGTTAGTTTAAAAATGTTTCATTAAATTATTTATAAGAGAATTTGAAATCTGTCAAATTTCTTCCTTAGGGATGTTACATCTAAATGAAGTTTGCTCTTTTCTCATTAACATATTGATGCTCCTGGAGAAAAAGAGCTGGTGTAATCTGTTTTGTTTTTTTTTAGATATAATCATCCTGCTCAGCTCAAGTCACTAATGATTATGACACTGAAGCACTTGACTATGCTTCTCCTGGAATTGCATTAAGATAATCGGTCACTCTAGCCCATTATGTCTGCCGGGCCTTTCTCAGCCCTGGAGATCATATGCAAACCCCAGTGCTGTTTTATTGTAAGGAACTGGATTTTATCCTTGGTTGTCAGTGACTCCCACCCTTACATTTCAGACTATATGAAACTTTGGTTCAAAATACGTTTATGGAGACTATTAAATGATTCAGTGGCTTTTGGCATTTTGCTCTCCTCCTTTGTTCAACAGAGGCAAGTAAAGTTTGAGGAGACTCTGTAGGGTCCTTCAATGGAATGTAATTTGGAGCCTAAATCTTGATGACTCTTCCTTTATGTGCAGATTGGTCCAAATGATGATGGAATTGAATTCTATTTGACTCCTTGTTTGCTGCCCTCCCAGAGGTGGGGGGAGAAGAAAGTGGAAATGATAGGTGATGGGAAGGCAACTGTTAGCCTGGTTCACTTCTGTGATCTAGGGTTTTCCTAGAACTGTCACTTTTCTTGAGATCAGTTAGCAAACTTGATGTAGCAGCTCCTTAGTGAAGAGTGAAGATTTCTCTCCCCGCTTCTACCTTCTATTTTGGGTTTTATTCAGTTTTTTTCATCTTCGAATTCTAGGATAGAACTATCATGAGCACTGCAACCACAAATCACCATGAAATCTCTATCTCTCACGGAGGATATGCGCCTTAAAAAAACAAAAATCCTCAGAGAAACATCGATATGAGGAGACACATCAATTGGTTGCCTCCCACCTGTGCCCTGCCTGGGGCTAGGACTCAAACCTGGCACCCTTTGGTGCATGGGCCATCACTCTAACCACTGAACACCACCATCCAGGGTGCATATGAGCCTTTGTTATGAGTGTCCTCCAAGGAATTCTCTGGACAAACCCTGCCTATGTCTGGTTCTCTTTTTATCCACCTGTGTGTAGTCTGTGAGGAACCTTAGCCCAGGTGGCGGGATGCATTTGTGTGATTCCATTACCTTACTATAGTCAAAGTAGTCAAAAGAGGACCAGACATTCATTAGCTTCTATGAGAAGAAAGGGAAAATATTAATCATTCTAAAATCATGTTTGAGCAAGCAAATAAAATATAGAAGCAAACCCAAAAGGGAAATGCTTCCAAACAGCCTTAAGAAAATGCCTGCATTCTCCACCAAAAACCAAAACAAAACAGAAGAAACAGCAGAAGCAGAAGCAGAAGAAGAAGAAGAAGAAGAAGGCCAAAATTGCATTCACCGTAACAAAAACCTCCTCCTCCACTCTGAATGAAGCTAGATCTTAAATCCAGTGATGGCTCTCTTATCCATTCTCATTTAAAGTCAGGATATCACAAGGGAAGATATTAAAAAATCTGAATTAACCTAAGAGAATTAGCCTGTCTGCCTTGCTGCTCTTGGTCCAACATCAGAAAGATTGTAAGTAGATTCAGATGCTAAAATTCTAAAGTCAGGTTTGATATTCTTCTAATGAAGGGGCCCTTGTTGCTACATAATGTTCTTTTATTTAACACAGTACCATTATTTAAACATATTATTTTAAGTGATATTTAAAATGTCATGCCCTGGGACACCACCTCTGCCCATCCAAAACCAGAGAATGTAGAAAATAATCAAGTACTGACATTTTTTCAGTCCATTTTTTTGAAAGACCAACTGAGAATCCCTGAAATGAGGCAGTGTCCACTCATTGTGGTTCATCAAAAAAGAATGGTGTTTGTATAATCTGAGCATCTTAATCTTCTTTATAGACAAAAGGCCTCATTATCTTTCTTTTATAAGACTGGAGACTGAGGCACCGAAAGGTCAGAGAACGTTCCTGACTGGCCCAGGAATGACCCATGCACTCCTGCTCCATTCTGTAAGAATATCCTTCTTTATCAAGGATTAATGCCAGTGGGTTCAGAGCATAGCTACAGTATTGTACTGATACTTGGCTTTGAGATGTGAGCTCTTTATTACAGAAGAATTGAAAAGAGAAAATAAAATTTATATCATTCATTCCTGAAGCCTCATCGATGCTTGAAATCTCTGGGTGTGGAGCTCTGCTGGGTTAACAAATAGAACTAACAAAGTACCAGCTTTTCCTGGTCTTCAACTCTTTCAAAGGCTCTTTTCCCATTTTCTTTGGTCAGAATCCGGAAAAAGTAGGTAATAGACTTGACATTCTGCAGTGTTTGACCAGGATCAAACCCTGTTTTGGCCTTATTGTGAAAATTTAGATAAAGCAGAGAAGGTGCTAGTGTTGTTCTTAGCCTAATGAGCTTTTCCAGAGCCCCCTACGGGCCATGACATGGAACTCTGGGAAAATGTCCAAGTGGGATGACTTTAAGATGGCTTTATAAAAAGTAAGATTCTTTGGTGAGCTCTCGAAATACTTCTCCAATGAAGACCTTTTCTTTAAAATTATGTGTTAAACCTTTCAAGTTTTTCTATTGTTTCTTCTTACTCATTGACCCATGCCCTAGAACGCTACCTCTGCCCATCCAAAATCTACTGTATTTTCTCTGAGGCCCCATGCAAATTCCATCTGCTCTCCCAGACCTTCCTTAACCTTCCCATATAACAATCTTCCAATTAAAAATATTTCTTTCCACAGCATGCATAGTCAGCATCATACAACCCAGCACTAGTTAATGTGTAATTTCCATATTTTCCTCTAATTTAATGGGTGCTTGCTCTGTCTTCTTGATTAGGTTTTAAGTTCCTTGGAGGCAATGCTGTATCTTTTATTTCTAGCAGGTGTTTAGTAAAATCCTTGCTGATCTGATGTAATTTTATTACACTGCTGCAGTTTAAATGGCCAAGTTTGAATGAGATGAGTCGCTTGATCTGGGATGGAGCTCTGTGATTTGGGTGATGGCCTGAGGATGAGGGCACATACCATCATGGGAGTCAGCCCTTCTGGGGCCTCTTTCTAGTTTTGCTACTTACAGGACAGATGACAGAGGAAGCATTACTTCACCCCTCTCTGCCTCCTCCATGCCCATCGCTTCACCCCTCTGTTAAGTGAGGAGCTGTAAGATATGAATCCCTTCCTCAGAGGGGAGCTGTGATAATTATAGCTTGTAAAGCATTTTGTGACTCTTAGATATAAAAGGGCTAATTATTATGATCATTAATAATTCTTAATTTTTATCTTCTTTAAGGTAAATTACCCTTACTTTAATTATACCCCCACCCTGGTGGTAATTATTACCTTGGAGAGTCAGCAGATGCTTTTCCATCTTACATCATGTCAGACAGGGTGACTGAGCACGGGTGAGCACCGGAGGGCACTTCCACCTTCTGCCCACTCCAGCTGTCACCCAGAATAGCAGAGAGCTCCTGGCCCTCTTTGCCATTGAGGTGGCCATAGATGTTAAGTGCTGTTTTCTCTGTTCTGTAACTATCTTTCTCCTAACCAGCAGCTCCGCAGTTTCACAGAGCTTTGGGATTTGGCAAAAGACACACTGAATGGGGGAAAGAAAAACCCTTAATTTTTTGTATTTTGGTGAATACTCTGAATGAAGGAAGCAGGCATTTTTGATTGGGCTTTGGAGATTTTTTTTTGGTATCTCGGATGAAAAGGTTGACAGCTGCCATATGGAAGAAGGGCCATAGCTTTTCAAAGGTAGAGGTGCTGTGTGACATTTTCTATTTTCTTGGATTTAGATCTGTTTCTAGTCAAATGGTAAGTCACTCTTTGGGATGAGAGGAGGATTTGTATCAAAAGAACAAAACAACAACAACAAAACTTTGAGAGAGGTTTTCCTTCTGATAAGAAGGCATAACATAAAGGACGTTGGGGGCTAAGGCTTTGCACTCAGTAGATGCTTTAGGTTGCATAAGTAAAGGTCATGGCCTCCCAAATATGGAAAGAGCACTTTCAGCACAAGCAGGCATGTGCCAGTCTGGCTGGGGATGTTTCCCCCAGGCCCGGGTGTTCAGTCATCGCCTGCGTCATGGTACAGTTATTGAATCCTAATCTGAGTGTTTCCCACCCTGAATCCCACCCTGAAGTAAGTATGGGAGTGGAACGAGGGTGTGCGTGTCAACGTCTAGAAATTTCAGTGGCTTTCATTCTGACCCCTCCCTTCCAGACAGGTGCATGCTTCTCTGGAGTCTGCACCCCCCTTTCTTCCAC